AGGGGTTTTGCAACATTGTATAATATGGCAGAGGTCAAAATTGGAAGCTGGGGCCGATAGACCCCAAACAAACAGATTTGTTACTGTAATTGAAGATGAAGTTCTCAACCAATCTAACAAAAACGCTCTGAGCAAAACATTCTCGGATCTGAAACTGTTGTATCAATTATCAATTATCAAGTTGTCTGAAGTCAATAAAAGTAGAACAAGAGATCTCAGAGGGATCTTGGCACCCATCATTCATTGAACACATTTGGTATCTTTTTATCCCAGTATGTTACTGGCCAAATTTCATCAACCAAGGCATCCTGGTTATTTAGAAGAAATTGTTTAAAGGTTTAAAACGTATTTGAGCCCTGTGCATTGAAGATAAGTCAAGGTCATTCATTTGGACAAACTTGGTAACCGTGTATCTCTGCATGTCACTGGCCAAGTATCTTTACCCTAGGCCTCCTGGTTATACAGAAGAAGTTGTTCAAAGGTTTTAACTCCTGGGAACTTGGATATAAGGTCATTCATTTGAACAAACTTTGGAGCCTCCTATTCCAGCATGTTACTGGCCAAGTATCATCACCCTTGGCTTCTTGGTTATTCAGAAGAAATTAAACTTACTTGACCCCTGTGACCTTAAATATAAGTCAAGGTCAACCATTTGAACAAACTTGGTAGCCTGTAATCCCAGCATGTGATTTGCCAAATACCATCATCCTGGGCCTTCTGGTCATTCCGAAGAAGTTTTTTAAAGATTTAAACATACCTGACCCATGTGACCTTGAAAATGGGCAAAAGTTATTTATTTGAACAACTTGGTAGTCCTATATGCCAGCATGCTACTGGCCAAATATCAACCCCTTAGGCCTCTTGGTTATTCAGAAGAAGTTGTTTAAAGTAAAAAGCTGACGCTGGCCGGACGGCCAGACAGAAGGACGGATGACGCACCATGGCATAAGCTCACTTGGCCTTTAGAGCCAGGTGAGCTAAAAATTGAAAACAAACATACATTACACTAATGACCAGTAGAGTATATCTGCTAGGAATCAGGCTACCCATACACCGATTTTGAACTTCGTTTGAATAGTTACATTACTTAGTTTTCCAGTTATCATTCAAAGAAGCAAAGGTCTATTCTAGCAACTGGCCGAGCATGACCAAAATCAATATTCTTTTTTACAATCACCAGGGCAACCTGCACACCAATTGAGTTTGAGCTTTGCAAGTTCTATATAATCATTCATTCTAATTCACTGTGTTTGTAACACGTTTTCTGATTGGATAAAAAAGCAAATTTTATCAGTGGTACAAGCATAATCAAGCAGAATTCTATTTTTAGCAATAGTGGCCTTCTTACAGATCAAGCCAAAATCATAAATAAAAAAATAAAAAAGTAAAAACAACAGTGTTATTTACATCCGCCAGGGCAACCCACACACAAAATTTGAGCAAAATTTGCTGTATGTTAATTCATTCTTAAGTTGTCATCGGGACAAGCAAATTTAAGCAGAATACTATTTAAAGCAGCAGTGACCTTGACCTTAGGCGAACCATGGCCAAAATCAATAGGTTTCTTCACATCAACTTTGGTAACTTATCTACAAAGTTTGATCATGTACAGTCATGGGTTCTTAACTGTCATCCAGACAAGTGCAACAACCAAAATTAACAAAATGTCTTTTTCTTGAAAATTTGACCTTTACATCCATAGAGTTCTTTGTATCTATCTAGGCATCCTATACACCAAGTTAGGACTATGTAGGTTTGTTCTTTCTAAAGCGACATGTCGTCAGGCGGATCATGCCTAAACTCGATAGGGTTAAATTTGCATCTCTCGTAGTACAACCCACAAACTAAATTTTAACTTTGTACCATCAATAATTCTCAAGCTATCACCCTGATAAGTCTTACAGGCTGATGAAGGAGTGGATGACAGCTACAGCAACATCATATTCATTAAGCTCTCTGGTCCTTTGGACTACGTGAGCTAATTTTTTTTAGACAAAAACTATATTTTCTGAATCAATTTTTTTACTGCCTTTGATTTGAAAACTACTAAAGTATTGTATAGCCCTGAGAGTCTGGCTAGTGGTACTGTATATCTTTGGGCGCCTGGGACTAGTGGAACTGTTTATCCCTTGGGTACATGGGATCAGTGGAACTGTTCACTCGTTGGGTACCTGTGGCTTGTGGAATAGTACATTCCTTGGGTACCTGAGACTAGTGGACTTTGGGTGTGACTTGTGACCTAAGACTGTATAGAGGTCGCGTTCTGATGACCTAAGACTGTATAGAGGTCATGTTCTGGTGACCAAGGACTGTATAGAGGTCATGTTCTGGTGACCTAAGACTGTATAGAGGACATGTTCTGGTGACCTAAGCCTGTATAAGACTGTATAGAGGGCATGTTCTGGTGACCTAAGACTATATAGAGGTCATGTTCTGGTGCCCTAAGACTGTATAGAGGTCAGGTTCTGGTGACCTAAGACTATATAGAGGTCATGTTCTGGTGCCCTAAGACTGTATAGAGGTCGTGTTCTGGTGCCCTAAGACTGTATAGAGGTCGTGTTCTGGTGACCTAAGACTGTATAAGACTGTATAGAGGTCATGTTCTAATTTATTTCCCAGGAATGGTGCAATCTGCGGAACAACACGTATTTCAAGATAAGACTTGTTAACTAAAACGCAAATAAAATTTCGTTTTATAAAGACACGATGTCACATTGTAGTGTGGTTTTTGCATATTACCCTGGTGAGTGGTGTAGACCTAATGGGTCTACTGTGGTACTCGTTGATATACATTAATTCTTTGTTTATGAATAAAGAATGAAAACAATATATTTTATGAATGAATGAAGTTACATCCGGAATATATCATAGAAACAGGGATATTTAGAACATACCCTTAAATAATGAATCAACTGCGACTTCAAAGCACTGTAGGGTTGACAAATAGGGATGTTACTTTCAGAAAGGGAAAGTTCACAATCAGAAAATCTTATAGCTTAGTAGTAAGTCGTCCTTGTTGGACATGTTGCACTTAAAGATCTCGAAAGGCGGCTGAAGTTGAAGAGTCTAGTGTCCTTGATTTTCAGTTCATATGAGTATATACGTCGACGTGGTCAACACATTTCTTGAAAATGTTGAGTAATACGTGAATGTGCTCCATTAGGAAATGTTCGACATTCTAAAGAGCAGTAAAATTCCTGAGACCTGCTAAGTCTTTTTCTCTCATTAGGAGAAAATCAACCCCTACTTACTAAAATCCTCAGAGCACGGCTGAGTCAGATTCCGAGTCTGACACTTTTATGTTAAAGCTGCTCGACCAATGAGTACTAGAAAACAGCATAGATCACCACAGGCCCCCACTCAGACACTTAGCCAATGTATCAGTGGTAACAGAAACCGAGTTTAAGCAGACTATATGTTAACAACTTTAACCAGTCTGATAAGTCGGTATGCAGTCAGTAGGACAATAATAAACACACTATATGCGCGGAACCTAAGCGTCTGAAGTTTCGCAAACCAACATGGCCAACTAAACTGAAAAAGGTCAAACAGATCAACTACAACAATTTCTGTGATAACGCATCAAATATAAATATTACAATCAAAGTTTCAGTAAAAGCAATAACATCGAGGTCTATGACAGTGAAAGGTATCAGCCCGATAGAGTCTCTGTTTATCATTAGTATGGACATCACTTGTGCAACAGTCGTGGCATATGAGGGGTGGAATACTGTGTTTGGAAGCGCCCATTAGTTCAGTTTCGAGCGTGGTCACTGGCACGATGAGTTCCCGCCTGCACATACCATTAAGTTGCAACAGCTGAATCCCCATGGTATCTTACAAAGCCAGTTCCCGGTAACTAGGGAAGGTGCAGTGGTAGTGGAGGGACCTGCGTAATTTCCCAGGAAAGGTCTGTGAACGACACTTCTTGGAGGGGGTGGGGTATGTAATTGATGCAGTATAACGCTGGACGCCTTCACTAGTTCAACAATGTCGGTTGTGACCAGTGGCAGGATTGGTGTCCGCTTGAACGTCTGAAACGTAGTACTAGGAACTCAAGATAAGGTCCGATGATGCTTTAGGGTGAAATGCATGTTATTGTAAATTGTTATATTATTATGACTATCAATTATTGTACACTATAACTGTTCATTTGATAAAATCAATGTTGTTTGCTCTTATATTTATATAATTTCATGTGTGAAGATATAGAATATGATTAATAGGTTCTTATTAATGTATTTTTTTGTTTAAAACAACCGTGATACAATAGGCTTTTCTATTTATGTAGAGACTGATTAGTGAAAAATTGTAGCTTTGTTAATAGAATTGTTTATTGTGGTGTGAAGTCACAATCGTGATTGTTTCTGGGAAAAAAATCCAACAACGTAGAAATTGTGTACTAATGATTTGATAGGAGCTTAATCATTGGATAGGAGCTTAATCAGATGCCAGACGTCGCCTCATGAGAGAGGTAGTTTATATAACCAAGCGTAACTATATGCTATATAGTGGTCAGGGTTGACTGACAACAACTGTATACGATCGACGACGGTGGACTGATATTGACTGATCAAATGGCCGTGCTCTAGACTTGAATGATGACAACAGCACAAAGGTGTATGCTGTATTTTGTTTTCAGATATTTAAGTTATCGTCATGTGATCTAGAAAGCTGAATAGAGTTCAGAAAAGTAAATTTCAATTAAATAGGAACATGTATCCAATAAAATATCCAAATCGTGATATCTTAAAAATTTCAAGCCGGTGTTTCGAAATGAAGACCAACATTTGTAATTTTGCTAAAACGTCCATATTCCTGGTAAATTCAGTTCGATGAACTGTAGTCAGATTTGTTGATCACATTTTAATGACTAAATATGAAAATACACAAATATCTGTTTTTTAAATGCCCTATGGTGTCAGTAATATAGACTGGGGAACGGGTAAAATGAATCGATCCAAAAATTTGTGCACGGCAGTATATTTTATTCAGTGAATTGGTAAGCTGACTGACACAATGTGCCACGCATCGCTAGGTTAGGATACTGGTTTGGTGACTGTCTACACGTACTTTGTCCCATGTCGTACACTGTACTGTCAGTACAAGTGTCATTGTCAGAGAGGAATCGGTTAGGACACGGCCACTTCTACCATTTCATCGACTTATTCCCAGGTACGTGTGTTTCATTGCTTCCATAATGTTTGTATTTCATATAATTAATTGGTTTCTGTTTCGACAGTAGTTAAGAAAAAATGGAATTCCAACTATTTTGCCTCTAACATTTCACCAATGTGTCATAGAAAGACGAAACAGCTGTATAGTGCAGTGTATTTGGCATATGGTATCTATTGCCATAATTTGTAGATGCAATTCATCCTTATAGCGCTTACAGGCGTTTATATCACGAATTGTGAATTTGTAGGCCTTTTGTATTTAACTGAAAGATCAGACAACCCCTGGTCCTGTCAACTGGTGCTGCTTGATTGTAGACCATGTACAGGTTCTATGCTAGGTGGTACTGTTGATGTTAAGAATCTCTTTAGGGAGGAGTTTTTTACATTGGATATTCATACGAAAAACATTCTTTAACTGGGTTTCCTACTCATAGCAAAATATTTCCGGATGTCGGTAAAACATATTTACCAATATCGATTTAATGAGAGTCCGTGTGTTATTAACTATGTTGAATTTTCCCTCGAGGAAGTATAGATATGTTTACATGCATTAGATACGGCTAATGAATAAATTAGATAAAGCTAACTTTATTGATTTTTTCAGATGTGCAGGTACGCTTCCATGTTTACCTGTGAGTGACTTGTAGTTATGAGCGGCCGTGGCGACATGCGACTAATGATGTAGCACCTGGATTTTACTTTTTGTCACCACGAAGACTCAGACCCTGCACCAATCTTAGGTAATGTACTATCGTTAACATTCAAAATAATGGTATGTACCAGCAAATACATTTTGTACAATGAAGTTTATTTGTCCATGTGATGTTCAACTTCATTCGCAAATTATGTTCTTGATAAAGGTTTGCTTTTATTGAATATGGTGTTTACAATCACAAGTTGCAAAGAGGAAAAATGACACAATGTTACCATGGTGCGTGGCGTTATATACCTTCTCATAAGCCGATTGTTTTCAAGTGGTGAATATTTACTGATGTTTCGTTTGTGAAAAGACAAGTTGTAATTGTATAGACCGGGATGCAAATGATTAATATGTGACACTGGTGGTTTACAAATCAGGTCGGAAATATCTAGAACATATAGTAAACCAGCAATTGTATATGGAAGTGATGTGTACAGGAAAAAATTATGAATTATATTTTGCTCAAGTGGTGAATATATACTGATGGAGGACAAGGTAACACTTGAATTAAGCCATACTTTAATTAATGTTATGTACGCGCTAATGAAATTTAATACTATAAAAAAAATCAAAAAAATGGTAAGTTGTATACTACCGAAGTATATTTTGTAATATGATTTTTGACACATGATGCCGTACTGATCAACAATGATATATCATAGTGATGAATGATGTACATGTATGGTGTAGTTACATATCATCTAATTACCTGGTACATGGGTAAAGTCTTCATGTAAGGTATATACACTGTATATATAAATAATAATACATGCCTTTTTCCATATCACACCCAGTATCAACCCGGGTCTGCAATATCAGCACAAGGGCCGAAGGCCCGAGGGCTGATATTGGTCGAGGGTTGATACTGGGTGTGAAATGGAAAAAGGCATGTTTTATTCTGTTTATTACATACTTACTAATAAAAGCTACTATCTTAAGCTATTTTTTATTGAAATATTGAAAAACAAAACATTTCCAAAAGAGGTGTGATACGGGTTTTGCGGGCTGATGCGGATTTTGGAGTGTGATACGGCGGGGGCTGATACGGCTTTTGGGGTGTGATACGACGAGGGCTGATATGGGTAAGAGCAATTGTGTCGTATCGCACATACAAAAAATCCGTATTTATGAGTAAGTATGTAGTAAATGTAATTATCAGATAGGCAATTTGTCCAACCAATAGTCACAATGTGTTCAGTAACCGAAGCTATAAAGTTCACTCATATCACACTACTTTGTTAACATGTTTATTGTATGAATCCACGATGTCTATAACTTGTAATAGCTGGTCACCTCTTATTACAAAAGTATGACTGATTGTAGCAATACAAATCCTAAAACATTTGAATTCAATCTTATCACTAAATTTACACATGCGTGATAGTTGCCTGCCACTGCTAGGATTCAATCTTTTTCACGTACTGCATTTAGCGACCAAAAAACAAATGAAATAACTTACATACAAAGCGAATAAATAAGTGATGCCGTTGGTTTCGGAACAGGCCAGGGAGCTTGCTATTGGTAGTTTCCTAGCAGATCAGTGAAAATACAAAGTTTCATACGCTTCCAGTAGATCACATTTATTTTCACTTTACGTCAAATACATTCTTACTTGTAGCAGAATGTTTCCGCGGGAACGATATTGTCGAGATTTTGCGGGTCAATGACGTGATCCCGAAAATATAATCTGAATAATAATATGATAAGCGTAAAATTGAGTCGCGGTGATAAACTTCATAATCGTGATGACGTCATGATGTATAGCACGTATGTGGTGGTACGGTTCATATACATTAAGAGTGTTGTTTGAAAATAGGTTATATCACACATCTATTAATTTTATTAATGATTTAATTTAGCAAAATAACTTATGTTTTGTTGCTCAATACATTGCATGCTGTTAAAATGAAGCCTATTGATTTGACACTTTATATGTCGAGAGTCCCTGTGCTAAAACATCGCGACAATTCAGTTCTTTCACGTGTATAGATTGCATAATAATTTTCTAATTTAGTGTCAGAATCGCGGAATTTTAGCGCGTGTAAATTATCCGTTATACGGAAGAAGCCGTCATAATATATATAAGGAGCAGTTAGTGTTATAACAGAGTCAGTTAGATGTACAGGTATTGTTATATACGTAAAGTAAAGCAACTGCTCCGACGTTAGGCTTTTAGTACCTGAGGTAACAGAAGTCCTTATAGCTGGGAGTATTTCTTGTTTGGGAATGCGTCCTGCGTTATTCGATTTTTGATTTTCAAGCTCTTGTTTATAGATAAATTTAGCAAAGGTAATAAAAAGTTCGAATAGCAATCGTTGAGGGATTTCTGAGTCAGTAACACAAATTGTAATAATGTATTACCGCGGACACAGCCATAACAATATATAGCTGATGTTACAAGTCTCCACATTCCTAATTAATTTTGTCGTCATATCACATGATTGAGATGATACTGGAAGTCAGGTGAGACGGCGCCTACATTAGCGTATGCATTGTAAAATATATTTTATTTCAACAATAGGTTTCGGCTCTGTTCTATTCGCATACGCCATGCTTGATGATTATCAGCAATTAAACAATGTTACTTTATTGATTTCATGTACAATTTACCTTAACGTTCACATTCAAAGTAATCCTACCGATTATTTATTAATCTGTCAGTACATATACACCAGCAATGGGACATGTATTTGTTTATGTTGGGCAGCCATGCCAATATGATATTGTTATTTAACACAGTAAATTATGTATTGCTATAATATAGGTTTTCATTACAGAACGAAATCTCAATTTACACCAAGCAAACAATACGCCACAGTTTTAAATTACAGCCACATAGTGACAGCTGGCAATGGTGATAACGAACAAAATATTGATTTCTCATGATTTTTTTTGATTTTTTTTTTTTAAATCAGAACGACAACAGAGCATATTCACATTCCAATAAGGATTGTCGTTATACAAGCGACCATGCCTTAAACGCCATTGGATACATTGATGAAACTGTCGGTACAAATTACAGATCGTGACGTCACCGCACATGTGGTTTAATTGAACGGAACGCACTTTCAATTATTAATGCTGATGAAAAGATCGATACATATTTATATATCATATATAGATGTTGATGTATCAAAAGTACCTTCTGATTAATGTTTTCTACCAATATAAAAGTATGTAGTTGTGTCGGTAGACAAATTATCTGAAAAATTTAGCGTTATACATGTACATCCTGCTCGCAAACACAGCTTAACTTACTTGGTAACAAAGAAAACCATACTTTTTCATTCTCTAAAGCCTAATCCTATCTAATCATCCTTCTATAGCCTTCCGAATACTAATTATTAATATGGATCTGACCTGCCTCGTTTGTATTGGATTCCGAACTTACCGATAATTCCTATAAACAACGTTTTGCTCGCTGGCTCTGTTAATTGCTGCTATTTGCTATCCCAATCCATTTTCTAAACCTAGAAATATCTAAGTAAAGGAGAAAGACCGAAAACTGTCCATTCTAAGAGAGAGTGGACTGATCGAGTTCGAGGTCCGTAGGGCCGAGATCTGTTTATTCTCTCACAGAATGTTCTCCTACTTAAAACTCAGTGCCCCTTTGTATTAATACTGGATGTCGTATTTGGACTTATCGGTTAGTTTGGCCTGTTGAGACATTTAGTAATTATCGACTGTATTTACCTGGGGACATTCGGGCATTGTGGAGTTTACTATAATGGCTGATTAAAACCAGACACGAAGCAAAAGCTTTGAGTTCTTTATTAGAGTATGAGAACACGACACTGGACACCATGGTGTGTTAACAATGGACACATTGAACATTTACGGGTAGCATGACTATATTTGGAAATGCACATGATTTCCATGTCCACTGTTATAATGAATCCTGGGTATTTATCAGTCAGTCCAGCTTGGTCATTTCAAGTGTGAGCCTGTACTTCTGAGGAGATGACGATACCGCTTACACATCACTTTTGAACTTATTTAATTTGTTGAAGTGTTGATTAAACACCACATCGAACAGAGAACAACGTAAGAATTAACTAAAATGACACTTAGACTGCATGCATAGATAAATTACTGAAGCAATGTTTCAAGCAACTAAAACCTCAAGCAACACACCTTTGGATATTTCAGGATATAACCACTGTATTCGTGAAAAGTGTAGAAATGTCTATTGAATTAATTTATTCTACCTCCAAGTATTAATCATTGAGTGTGCGAGGATTTGTTCCTGAATAACAGCATTTTCCCCCATTCCATCAATATTTATATTTCAAAATAACCGTTTCTTCCTCAATCACGATTTACAGCAGTCAGCTGGAATGATTTGTTCTCAAATACATTTTCCTAAATAAAATTCAACAGCGATATTCCTTCTTTGCGTATTGCAGAGTTATCTTCTCTTTGGAGCAGGTATTGATTGTTACGTCACTTGTTTGTGAGAGTAACGTCATCAATTTTTGAGAAAACGACGTAATGTTCCTCGCACAAACCAATGACGTAACAATCAATACCTGCTCCCAAGAGAAGATAACTCTGCAATACGCAAAGACGGAATAGTCTTTATATCAAATATAACTATCTGTGGTGTTTCGATGGATAATATTTAATGTACAGACATGGAATTAGATTAGAATTAGGCGCTTAAAGGTAAAGCTGTATTTTGTTACCTTTAGCTCTTCAGTATTAGGCCAGTAACTGTCCATAGTGAAACACAATGATGGACAACTACTACTTATTAATAGACAGCTACAGGTTTTTCTGTGTACATTCTACTATAAAATGTACAAGAGAAAAGGATGACATCACAACTGTCCTTAAATCAGGATTACAGTTTAATTTAACAATATTCACTCCAGAAATGGGATATATTGAATATAGATTTTGAAGATTTTTAAATATCTCTTTTATTATACTTGGTTGTCCTCTCCTTTCGAGTCCCTTCTATCAAAACGTTTGACAGTTTCCTCTCTATACACTGTAACACATTATATCAAACTGTTCTGTTATGTTAAAAGGAGGGACCTATTTCCAAGATGGTGAAAGTCAATATGTAGGTTGTACTATTCCGATGCATACCGTGAAAAATACGACGCAGGCCCAAACGAAAGACGAATATGATTGAGTTCCGTGTTAACAATATGATTGATAAATTGATAAATTAATTTGCAAGCTTTTTCTTCATTGTTCGTATTCCTATAGGAACAGAGGTGCCTCTCTCATGGCCTGTTTTTTTTGTTTTTGAATGTGGGGCTTAAATAATTTCACAGCTTCCCAGGACTTGTAACAAAAATGTAGTCTTTCAGTTTCACTTGTTTGTGTATCGACGATGTGCTGTCTTCAAACAATAAGACATTATTGACCTTGCCTGACCTTGAAATCAAGGCCAATACCTGAGCCGCTTTCATCGCTCTTTAGTTTCAACTTGACCAACAGGAACGGCTTTCACAGCCTGAGGTATGTACGTGTCGCAGTTGATTTGGTGTTCAATATACTTCGTATATCATGAATTCTGTGACAGACTCCACCGCTGACGTAAAGACAAGCCTATATCACAAGGTTTTCGATACATGTAAAATTATGGCGGTTATGGACGAGTTTCATTGGGGTCATATCATCTCATTAGGGGAAGCTTCGTTTCATTGGAGGCATTTTTCGTCTGTGTATGAGAGTTTTTCATCGAATTCAAATAAGGTTTGATGTGGATAAAGTCCGAGGCGTATCACGGGTCGCTTGTCAGTCAACATCATCATGTGGATGTGGCAAAATACACGTCTCCTGCAAAGATCTGTGTGACGTCGGAAAAAAACTTTATAACACCATGAATAGATCGTGACCGAGGTTTACCAGTGTTTCGAAAACGAACAAACCTGACCGTTTTCCGTGTAATACCCAGATGCACATATGTTCAGCAGAAAGTGGCCGGTGTGTAGTTATATCGTGTATTGTAAGCTAGGGAAGGAAGTTAATTTGTGTTCCGTTCTCTTTGTAGGAATGTCACAACCAACAGCCCCACCTTACGCCCAGTATCCGCCTGCATACTCGATACTTTCAATTCCAGACCAAAGGTCGCATATTAATCAAGACAGATGTCGAAACTCGCACAGGATTTATCAAACAACATCAGACATAGGCTACACACGACCGCAACAGGCGATATATCCAAGCAACCGGATGATTCATCCGGGTTACTTCCACGGCAACCAACCCCTTCCTGGGCAAGCCACCAGCTATCCTCCGCGCCATGGAAATGAACCGATTTTCAGGAGAACGTAAGTGAATTATCAAGGTCATTGCACGTTCAATAATCTATTTACTACCGTTCCTTATGGACTAGCAATTCATTTATTGAATCACAATTACTTTTAATTGCAAAGGTGCCTTTTTAATATTGATAGTAACTGAAAATGGAATTAACATTCGCGGATAATAATTTCAATTTGTAAATTGGTCTCCAGGCAAATGTACGCTTAAACAATCTAAAAATCGTCCTTATTGGTTACAGCACGATAGAGAAGGAAGAGAGTGGACGTGTCGACAACGTTGACGTGTGTATAATGGCCGTTCTAGCCGCAGTATGTTGTTGTTTCTTGTGTTCAAACTTGGAGGACTAAGAAGCTATTGACTTTTCCTCAATAGTAAGCGTTTCATCAGCGGTATTCGCTTGTTATTAACACACATTGACTTAAGGATATTTGCGTCATCTATGCGACATGCATTATTTTCAAAAAGAGTTTACATATTTGGAGTTGAGACAAATGCCACCCATGAAACGGTTGAGCTGTTGTTTAAACAGAAGTTTTAATGAACTGGCTGATTTTCACTTTCCGTCATTTTCATGGGTTGAAATCCTGAATCATGGAACACGGTGGTAAGAATATATGTGCTCTTGTAAATTTGCTTCTTTCCGTTGATATCAGTCATTTTCATTGGTTAAAATCCTGAATTATGGAACGAAGTGGTTTGAAGGTTAGCGTCCTTTCATTTTGTGCTCATCCATTGAGAAAAATGCATACCGGACGTCCATGTAATTTCATAACAGATGTCTCCTCTTTATACCTGTACTTGATAGGGCAATGGTGCCACAACCGACCAGATATCTCAGTTGGTTAGAGAGACACTATAACGGTCGAAGGTCCAGAGTTCGAATTTTTTCGGTGTATTTCATTTTTATTACTTTTTCACAAGAGTTCAGGAAGTAATGTATTTCTCTTCAGAATTGTGACATCAAAGCTTTACCAAAGCCAAACAAAGGCCTAGCCCTTTTTTGTCATGGTACAGGGAGTATCAAAAACGAACAATACCAAACTATGTGACGCATTGTAAAACCGAATGCTTAGCTTAGAGCTGAACACATAGCAGTGGGATATTTTCATATCAGCTAGTTAACTTATTGCCTCAAACATGTTCCTACCAGGCCAAGCTCTTCGGTTGTAAAACAACATCTATCGATCGACGATATTATCAAAGATCTAGCAAAAAGAAACTTCGTTGTTTATATTGTGTAACACTTGTTATCAAATTTTAAAAAGAAAATAAGTCGCTTAAGCTCGTTTTCATTGTAACAAATTAATATTAACTAACTCGTGATGTGGACAGAGATATACTCTCAAAACCAGGACAGTATATGTGTTTTTCCAATACAAGGATTTACTAAATGCAGCACTCCCAGATATATTTTCTGTCGACATAACAGAAGATAAATGACCCTTTAATCGACAGATTAGTATCGACACGCAGCACTAACATTGTCAGAGATTTAGGTGAATTTATCAGACATCGGCAATATCCGACTGATTGTGATACGGTCATTCTAGTGTGCCGTCTTATAATTTCTCAGATCGTGCGAGCAGTCCAGATCCTTAGGCAGACAGAACGAAAGGAAAGTTTCTGTTAGGAAGGAAAAATGTATGGTGTCTTACACGATTTAAATTTTGTTGGCAATAATTTGTGCTCTAATTGTTCCTTCTGTTTACAAACCAAAGATGGATTATGCGATATGAATACATATCGGCTTTAAGACGGCCAAAGAAACATGTATAAACCATTAATGCTATATTTAAGTGGATGCAATCAAATTGTTGTTACCTGCTTTGCATTTTGATTTAGCTGATGCGTGTGCCGTGAAATAGGGCAGAATGCCTCGAAAGTTGACGAGTTATATTGTCAGCATTGGCTACCATCTCTATTCTTCCTGTACTTTCGCATTGAGTTGTAACGTACGGGTGGTTACCAATCTAGCCACTGACCACGCCCGACGTTGTTGAACCAGTCAGCGGGTCTCATGGTTATTCCGTCTTTGCGTATTGCAGAGTTATCTTCTCTTGTGAGCAGGTATTGATTGTTACATCATTTGTTTGTGAGACTAACGTCATCAATTTTTGAGAAAAAACGACGTAATTCAATCACTACCTGCTCACAAGAGAAGATAACTCTGCAATACGCAAAGACGGATTAGTGCATTGCTGGAAAAGCTAGCTTGCCAGTAAGGCAGTATGACCTCCTCATATCCCTTGATTGTAACACATTCAAAAAGAAATAGGACAAAAAATGTGAATAGGATTCAAACAAGGTGAATTTTAAAATAAACAGAGATGTTCATCGCCACTGGATTCTCGTTTTTATTTATGTTTTTCTTTACTTGATTACAGTCACATTCCTTTAGTTTTGTGGAATTGTTTCAGAAGCTCCGGATTGAAACGATTGCAATGTTGTTTTTGAGAAAAAGAATAATAAATTATAATTGGAATCGGTAGAAACTTTTACCCGATTGGTTAAAAGTATCCCATTCCAATCATGACTTTCCTAGAAGAACGGGTCAGACTTGGACGCTGATGTACATCACTGTGGACGAATTCAGACTACAAGAAGAAATGGTAGGGGATCTAACAGTTCTAACAAGTAACAGGCGTTATTTAACTGTTGTAAAAAAACAATTGTTTATTTGACGGGCGGTTTTGGATTGGCGACCTTATAAAGCGTTTAGAAAGATATGCGAATGTCGACACAAGAACGTTACTATGAAATCAACCATTAGTTAGAGTAAACTGCAAGATTAACTAAGTGAATGTACTGACATTTGGTTAGTGCAGGACACTCGCATTTTACTAGAGGGCTTGGACACTTTACTAAATACATGTAGGACGTAAATATGTTACTGAACCACTGGAATAAAATCAAATCCTTGATGTTATTGTATATGTGTCATCAGTGCCATTATTTATATGAGAAAGGTAACATTTATAACGGAAAAAATATTTCATACGAAAGAAATATAAGTAAACATAAATTCAAAAATTCTAGTATGTGTATTTTATTAAAAACTGTAAATTCAAAAACAAAGACATTAAGATGAAAAACAACAACGACCCTATGTATCTTGACCCAGTTTTTCAACGTTCCTCAATTGAAAGAAATTCTTAATAAGTTTTTTCAAATGGAATTTATAAAAATCTTAAATTAAATTACTCCAGTAATGCATTTCTTTATTCACAGGATCTCTCTTACAATCATGACACATTTCCACAACAAATGATGGAATACTTATCGGTTAGGAAAGGGTAATTTTTAATGACATTACGTGAACTTTTAAAGATAAAGTGGACACGTTATCACGTAAAAAACAATAACTGACGTCATTGCTTCGGATAAAACAATGTCATTGTTTTCTTATTTGATACATTATGACTGACTTATTGCTAAATAGTAATGCATAAAATTGTATTTGACTGATCAGAAAACATTTCACCATTACATTGTGTATACACTATCACTCCAATTGTTCTCTCATCGGCGATAGACATTTTACTGGAGTCGATCCCATCGGTCGCAGTGACCCGTTAATAGCGTGAATCTGTCATATTGATCTTTTCATAGAACACATTGCTGTTAGCCATTTGCTTTATCCATAGTATACTACAACCTGTGAAAACGATATATATATATATAAATTTATCATACGAATACCTTGGTATGCAGTGACATAAAGCCATCACATGTAATGTGTGTAATATCACTCCAGAAATGACGTTACAATCGAATAGGAACAATCAATGTGACGTCACGTCATTGTGAAGCGGATTCATCGTTTCAGGGTCGGCCAAGTGCAAAGAACATATATTCTTTTCAGATCACAATTATACAGTTTACTTTGTATTACATAATAAAAAGAATCTGTCATTCGTTTCCCTTCATATTAGATTGATGATACCAGTTTTGTACTTTTCATATGAAAAATTAAAATCTAAGACAGAAATTTATGACAGATCCTCTATATCTACACAGACGTTGCGGCTAAATGAACACCCTGATTTACTTATTTGGGTTGTATTCAATACGAAAAAAGGCTACACAACACCGAATTCATCCTGTTTCATACGACACTCGTTCACTTACACAGCTCATTCACACATTGCTATCGTCCAAACTGAGTTTGATTATTGTGGTTATACAATTGATATTTAACAAAATCAATAAAGAGAAAACCAAGACAGAATAAAATGATCCCGAGTTAAACATGATGTTGCTCTTCACATTAATTCAAAATATATTATTGTTTACTTGCAGTAAACCTTTACTCTACTAAACAAAGGGAGGTAATAATAAATCACCCTTTTGTATAAATACATGGAACTACTTAAAGACACTAAATGTCTACATACCGGATATTAAGGTAAATCGACAGTGTAAAATGGGGTTTTGAATATCTTTTTTTCCTGGACAAGGTTTGCAAAGTGTTTGATATTTCTCCATTTCACACTGTAAATAATGATTCAATACTTTTCATCTACACGTTACTAAAATAACACCAGCTCCCTACAAGGACGTTATTTGTGACGTCATAACACATATATCAGACCACGTGGTAACACATAGGTCGCTATACTGTAAAACAAGAGCAAGCTTATTTGAAATTTGATAAGCTAAATCAGTCGTTAACAAAACAAAGATACACGACATTATGTCATGTCTTATCCTCAATAATCAATTTTGAATCTCTATACAAACAAATTAATTATCCCTTTTTTTCAAATCAACTGAGGTTATCAAAATGTACTGATTATTCATCTCGATATCATTCACGACAAAGAAGCTTTCAAATATCAGAGAAAACACACAGATAAATCTCCATGATGCCATTGCTTATATTCCGTCTTTGCGTATTGCAGAGTTATCTTCTCTTGGGAGCAGGTATTGATTGTTACATCATTGGTTTGTGCGAGAAAATTACGTCGTTTTCTCAAAAATTGATGACGTTACTCTCACAAACAAATGACGTAACAATCAATACCTGCTCCAAAGAGAAATAACTCTGCGATACGCAAAGACGGAATATATGTAACGACTTCATACCGATTGTGACGTCACAATAGCGATGTGTGATTTTACGGTACTAGAACTACAAGTTGCATCAATGTAATAGACAAACTGAATCATGGGTAGGAAAATATAATGTAGTATATAAAGGGTGGCAGTCACGTGATCGAAACGAAATATGGGCTATGAAAATATTGCAGATTGATCTTATTCAGATAAGCACATAACCTAATATAATTTCAATTACTGTACACATTATATAGTTAGATGTCCGAATGCAGTCCAAAGAGGGCAGCTCATGCAGTGATACAATATTTTTTTTGAAAATCGGAGACTAAATCTGAAAAAAAAAGGCTAGAAATACTTTTTTAACTGTTCCGACGTTGAAGTTTATATCAAACATCACACTGATAAAATTAGTAAGCTGTGGTTTTCTACTATTCAATTAGCTTAGATTGTGATTGTCCTTATCTTAAATGTTTGCTTGCAAAAATGAAAAAGTGAAACAAAATTTGAGACCATTTTTCAAAATGTCGCATCGTCTCACTCCTGAGTACCTCGTTTCCATATCATTTTTATTAAATGTGTGTAAATATACAGGTTCAAACTAAAAGTTATCAACAGATAAATACATGTAGCAAATGAGGATGTATAATATTTTAGAAACTTCTGATTGATAGTTTTACCATTTATACTGACATTCAAATGGCAAGTTTGTGAACAAATCCTGATTTCTCGGGAAAGACTTTTTTAAAATATGTTGTTCCTGCCTTGAAAAAACGCCGAGTACTTTTCTTTCTTGTTAGAACATGCGTTTCTTTTTATACAGTCCAGGGGGCGGCGGATTGATCGTTTCATTCAAACTACTGTATTGAACAAGCGACCAATTTCACATTAGAGAAAATGATCGTCATTGTTGAGTTCTCTGCTTTTAAAGCTGTTAAAATAAATTCATTCAAGCAGACAATACCACAATAAAAACTTACCTGAAGTGAGTCACACCTTCGTTATTGTGTGTGTGCTAATATCACTGCGTAATCACGTGGTTCCAAACTGTCGTATCACAGGTGCCATTTTTTCTTAAATATAGTAGTTCTAAAAGTATACACCCTCATTTTCCACATAGATACTATTACACAGTCCCCTGTAGTCCGAATTATTCTGTCGTTTTATCGACTTTTTTCATATCGGTCTGTCGTCGATTAACCAACCCATGTTTTTAATGGTAATGAGGCCATGAGCAATATCACATGACTAAAAGTATACACCTGTAAAGGGGGAGAGTGAACAAATTTATGCTAACTGTGTCATTTTTCTGACAGAATATATCATAAAAATCTGTTATATTTTACTATATAAAACGTACAACCAGATACAATTCATCACATATATACCCTCTTTTGTAAATAAACATATTTGTATACTTTTTAAATAAAACTAGCACTTTGATTCCCGTCAGTATGATCAAGGCTTTCTTCTAATTTCCGAGCTGAAGTCCACTGAAAAGTAAGATAAACGTGATGTAGAAACAAACAAAAGACTGACAATCAATTAAAATAAAACCGAAAAAGAGTATCGCCCTCCCACGTTTAATGTGTCTGTGAATTTGTAATGAAATATTTTACGATAGGCACCAGTTATGGCGCGAAACGTATGAATAGGTTTTGAACCACAATTATCCGGATGTTTGAATACCAAAATAACCTGGGTTCAAGTTGTATGCAAAGTGGAAATTGTGTAAAGGACAAAACTACTCAGGTTAAGGCCTGGGTCCGTGGTAATGAAACCGTTCTCGTGATCAAGCTGGGTTTTTTTTTGGCTAAAACCAACTTTCTTGTCACTCACTTAAAGCATGTCAAACGATCAAAACATCGAAAACAGTATTCAGCTTAAAGTCGCTTAAAAGTTTTTCCAAATCATTGACAAAAAAGAATTCATTATAAAGTTATAATCAGAACTTGATATCAGGCTTGAGCACAAAATCCATGCTTGAGCATTAGAACGGTTTCATGAATATGGGCTCAGGCACCAAACGCGGTCACACGGGGACGGGCAGACCTAACAGTATTAGTTTCCCGTTACTCCTCTACAACACTATATGTCGGTTGCGAATGTACAAATACGTTTTCGACTCCACATAGTGTCCATAGACTTACCTGATATCGATTTTGTTTTCTGACTGAGCAAGGAGAGCAAATTTGGTTTCGTCGCTGGGGGAGTTGAGATGAATGAGCAGGATATAGTTCCCGGGGTCTAGTACGTAGTCCGCCTTGACATTGGGTCCAGCTAAAAACTTTCCGTCGTCGTTGTCCGTCATAAGGACGATGGTCCCTTCCGCCCGGTAGTTGCCGTTGATCCAGGGGGTCGTCAAGGGTACGTGAATGTTACCGTCATCCTAGGGAAGACAGAAGGACAAGGGTGTACCGTAATCATCGTCACAGACAAGTAAAACACACACAGGGTCAAATGGCACTAGCACAGACAAAAAGGTTGGGGCACCATATCTACATGTGGTAAGGTAACAAAGAAGATACAAGATATACACAAGACGCATCTGATAAAGAAGGTAGGGTTTCTTCGACATTCCATTCCTACATGACATTTCCATACGAAGTATTCAGAGTATAAGACAGTGTATGGAACGAATTTCACCGCTATAGCGTATTGTTTGGACTGTTAACTCGTAAACAAACCGGTCGGTCAACACAACGAAACCAATTTGAGAAAGACATCTGTGCAGCACACAGCTGCCATGGCAACTGTAAAAACATGTTATTATCAAACGATTTTAACTCAGATACCATCCACACATGTTTGCAAAACAGATAGCTGTAGTGTGTATGATCTAGTAATGAGATAAGATCTGACACCGGTATCCAAACGTCATTAAATAAACACATACAAAAACGATTCAAAGAGAATTGATGTTTGGAGAGGTCATATCTTGAATATGTGCTATCATCTGTCAATTCAATAATACTCACTCTCCACATACGAATACCAAGGGGGACCATTTCCGGTTTGTCGTCTTGTAACAGCTGGAACTGGACGAAACCTACAACGACACGTGACGCTGGTAAATGTCTAGACAGACAGACAGACAGACAATTGACTACACATTAATCTAAGATAACAATGGAACCGGACATAACAGCCTCTGCTATGTGCTTAGAATGGACTTATGATAATAAAGAAGGAACAGGTTATCATTTCGAACCGTTCATGTTTAGAATGATATAGAACAATTTGCCCTGCCTTTCATCTGTATCTCCTAAGAACACGCTATGTGTAATTAAGATATATATTTTTATTACCGATATGGGACTTAATATTTTGATTTCTTTTTAGCAATGAGATTATTACCTACAGTTCAGCAGTCACTGATATCTACCTGTCTGGTTGACGGTGATCCGGAACTGCGGGTTGATTCCCACTGTCGGATAAGAAACCTGACCACCTGCATTGACACCTTCTCTGATATTTCCCATCAGAACCTGGCTGTGCACTGGAGGTCAAATATATCCACAAAAATTAACAGTAACGAAAAATGTAAACATCGTCTGCAACTACAGATTATGGAAAATCAAAAGAGGGTTACGAAATCAGAAGCAAGTTATTGAAGCAAACCTTTCTGTTTCAAATATGCTGTTATATTTGATTATAAATATGAAAGATACAACATAAGTCTATAAATTAAGTGTTCCAAAATGTAAGTAGAAGAGTGAAACAGAAGAAGTGCCAATACAATCCCTTGTAATGTCACACGTTTCCTTTTTGTCCGCAACATGTGATTCCAAGGTTCAAGGCTAAAAGTGATGGCACATACAAAGTAATGGCACAATTAAGGTAGTCTATGAACAAAGGGAGACAGCTAGTAGTCAGTATTCATTACCAGATAAACAGCTAGTAGTCAGTATTCATTACCAGATACACAGCTATTAGTCAGTATTCATTACCAGATAACTAGTAGTCAGTATTCATTACCAGATATACAGCTGGTAGTCAGTATTCATTACCAGATAACTAGTAGTCAGTATTCATTACCAGATAAACATCTAGTAGGCAGTATCCATTACCAGATAACTAGTAGTCAGTATTCATTACCAGATAAACAGCTAGTAGTCAGTATTCATTACCAGATACACAGCTATTAGTCAGTGTTCATTACCAGATAACTAGTAGTCAGTATTCATTACCAGATAAACATCTAGTAGGCAGTATCCATTACCAGATAACTAGTAGTCAGTATTCATTACCAGATATACAGCTGGCAGTCAGTATTCATTACCAGATAACTAGTAGTCAGTATGCATTACCAGATAACTAGTAGTCAGTATTCATTACCAGATAAACAGCTAGTAGTCAGTATTCATTACCAGATAAACAGCTAGTAGGCAATATTCATTACCAGATAAACAACTAGTAGGCAATATTCATTACCAGATAAACATCTAGCAGGCAGTATCCATTACCAGACAAACAGCTAGTAGTCAGTATTCATTACCAGATAAACATCTAGTAGGCAGTATCCATTACCAGATAACTAGTAGTCAGTATTCATTACCAGATAAACAGCTGGTAGTCAGTATTCATTACCAGATAAACAGCTGGTAGTCAGTATTTCTTATCAGATAAACAGCTAGTAGTCAGTATTCATTACCAGATAACTAGTAGTCAGTATGCATTACCAGATAACTAGTAGTCAGTATTCATTACCCGATAACTAGTAGTCAGTTTTCATTACCAGATAACTAGTAGTCAGTATTCATTACCAGAAAAACAGCTAGTAGTCAGTATTCATTACCAGATAAAAAGCTAGTAGGCAATATTCATAACCAGACAAACAGCTAGTAGGCAATATTCATTACCAGATAAACAACTAGTAGTCAGTATTCATTACCAGATAAACATCTAGTAGGCAGTATTCATTATCAGATAAACAGCTAGTAGGCAGTATTCATTACCAGATAAACAGCTAGTAGGCAGTATTCATTACCAGACAAACAACTAGTAGGCAGTATTCATTACCAGATAAACAACTAGTAGTCAGTATTCATTACCAGATAAACAGCTAGTAGGCAGTATTCATTACCAGACAAACAACTAGTAGGCAGTATTCATTACCAGGTAAACAACTAGTAGGCAGTATTCATTAACAGGTAAAAACGTTTTCTCAATACACGTTAATTCATATTGCCGATAGCATGTTATATGTATCTTAGTGATACAATAGTGTGTTACATTGTGAGTTCGCTCTTTGCGTAACTGTTCATATTTTATATATTGTTACGTTGTGACTGATTCATGTAATGGTAACCATGATACCTTAATTTAAACTTTCACCATAATGGACTAATCCAGATCAATGCTATGGTAGAGTTTACTTAGGTTACATATGGGTGAAAAGGTTAAATAGGCCTGTAGAAACAAAGATGAGTCAATAGCTGTGGATATAGAAAGGACAATGCTGTACCATACTAAGTTTCCCTATTGGTACACACTTAATTATGTTCTGTATAGTAGCTGCTATATACACAAATAAGCAATTGCATGCACATCAAAAATATAAATGTCTCATTCTTTATAACTCAGAGATATCTATGTATTTAAATGTGCTTACCAAGCCGTATAATGTAGAATATATGAATAATAATGAAGTATTGTTCTAGCGATGACTGGATGTCTTCAAGCAAGCAATGAATCTGTTTAAAACATACATGATAAGCTGCTGTACTTTGGTGGATCAGACCCACCATAATCCCCTGTAAGTCTCCAGTACCATTTAGATAACAGTGGTTTCTGAATCTCATATTCGATATTTTGAAAAACAACATTGATTATATAGAGATTTTTTATGTATCAAGATATATTGTTCAAGCCATTAGTACATGTTTCATCTAATCATACCGTATTACACGAAATGTTCGTGGGTATTTTCGTTCGCGGTTTCGGACTTTTAAGGTTGTTTCGCGATGAAGATATTTATGGATTCCCCATATAAACATATCGAAGCCATGCATATAAATTGAATTCGTTGTATTATTTTCAAGGTTAAATAGGAGCCAAGAAAACAACGAATGTTTATATGCAGCGAACATTTCATGTTATACGGTATATGTTAGTGTTTCTCTCTACACGCCTGTAACATTACACAGGAGGCAATACACTGAATGGCAATACTTACGCCTCTTACTTGAGACAGACGCTGGCATGGCGTCCATATCACAATGCATGTATTGGACTCTGCTGTCATGTGTGAGATTTCTGTAATATATCAATTGTTCATTAGATTTCCTGCCGGCAATAACAACGTTTCGAAATATCCATAAGACTGTCTCTAAATAACTATCTAAAATGTGAACCTCTGGTTCCAAGTGACTTCCAATATAACTTGTATATATAGATATATCAGAGACTTGAAAAAAATACTGAAGGAAGATATAGGATATCTTCCAGATACTGATTTCATAAATGAATAATTTGTTTATTTGTAACAAAAAAAGTTGTGATTTTATAGAAACGGTTTTAATTTAAAAGTGAACCTATCAGCTCATCTTTACTGAAGTTCACAAGACTAACTTGAATTGAGATAACGGCCCGGATGTGAAAGTCCGCACGAGGAATTCCTTCTCGTCTCCTGCATTAGCGGCTGAAGGTAAGATGATATATTTCCCAGGTTGCACTAGATACCGGAAGGACCGTTGTGGAGAGTTTTTGTACGAGTTGGTTTTCTTCCCCAGTTCATCTATTATGTACATATTGCCATCGGAACCAAACACCTGTCGACATCCATCAGGAGCAGACAAATGAATAAGCTAATGAGACAAATCACTTCTTTAAAGAAATTGAATATAAATAATCATAGATTTTCATGACACAGACACTTTGAAAACAAACGATTTTATATATATGTATATATTCAAATCAGCGCATTCAGTCCAACAGGTTTTATTGTGAATAGCTGGTCGAATGATGGTCGTCCTTTCGTTATACAAAGAGTGCAATGTACGTATAGTATAGGCTTTATACAGTCGCATGAGAACAACTTCTTCCCTGCGATTTGCTAGATACTGGTTGCACAAAATGACGCATTAAGTTGAGTCACAACAATCTATGAGTATTACTGCTTGAGTATCTGACATCACTATGTAGTGCTGAGTTAATGCTGTTAAACTGGACGTAACAGCGCCCTACCACGCTTACAATACAGGTAACGATATAGGACCATACTTGTGTGGAGTAATTGCATCCCTTACTATGCTTGTTTAGGAATATGAACCACCGTCACCAGTATCTAAGGAAATGGTGTAGAAGATAATACCCGTATTCCCAGTTAAAGATCGTTCCTTAGCACAAGGAAACTCCTCACGAACGCTCCTGTAACTGTGCCGTGTTTATCTGCGTGTATTTTGATTTAGATAAGTTTTGATTTAATTTGATTGTGAATTAAAACAAAAATCTGTTTACCAATTTATTCAATTTTATAAATTTACCAATCATAACGGCCTCATAAAGAAGAGTTCCTAGAAGGATATTGGCGCCCACCATTAAATGATCTTTATCAGATGGCCTTTTACCGTCGTTGCCCTTCATTTTCCACAGTCCCATGTTGGAGAGCATTAACGAAAACCGTGTACATTAAATCAACCACAGAAATTTAACGTTACATGCCCGTGACTATGGCAAATCTAAAAAAAATGGCATAACAATATGTCAAATGCTAAACAAATGTACTTCTTACATAATAATGAAGAGCTCTCAATGAGGAACGAATTCTCAGAATTGTATCAGAAACTTCATCACTGTTTTGGTTGATGTTTCATGAACTTGAAATACAATTGATACATTCCGACATTTTCTTAAATGGCTATTTCTCGACATCTGAAGGTTGAAAAATGTCCCTGTTGGTCTCGGAGTTAATTAACACCTGTCCATACCTTGTACACGTCACAGCGGATCTGTATCAAGTCTGTCCGTCTGTGTTCTGTCCGCTGTATTATTTGTACAACCAAGGGCACGTCGCCGTTTTCATCCGCGGCTACAAAACAGACATACTTTGTACTCTCCTATCATTGACCATTAACAGACTTCTGATAGAGTATCATTGCTAATGGAATAGTATATCTGGATTAGGTATAAGTCTGGTTTCACACTTTCAGAATTGGAGTAGCACATGGCCATTCTTCAGATCTGAACAAAGCGTACACACAGATGCACCATTTACAACACTATAAAAATACAAAGTTCTTCTAATTACAAAGTGATGGTATAGGTATACATCAACATCACATTACTTGATAGGAAGCATACCGTTTTCATTTACTTCGATGAGATACTTGGGATTCTGTAATTTGTTCCTAAATCCTGCTGCGTTATCATCCCGCCAATCACCGTACAAGCACGTGACGTATTCTGAAACATAACGTTATAAACTACAAACTGTAATGATAGTTGAGTAAATATCTACCAAGTACACACAAAACATATTTGATGAAAATGGAGCTGAACATTTCTTTTTCGAACTTCTTCATATCTTCAGGGATATTAATTAGCAATGTAATATTCCGATTTCTTATGTAAGCAGTATCAAACATATTCACGACACAAAGTGTACCTCGATCATGAAGTTTCTGACGGTTTAAATATTTTCATCTATATCTGATCAAAAGTGGTCTCCCTTACTAAGTGTGTCTTCACTTCCGTCCCTGTCGAAGTCGGGTGTTATACTACAAATCGTCACTAGGTTGAAACACTGCATGAAATCCTCTATGGATATGTAGAACTCGCCGTCGTCCTTGTTGGCGTGCGGCACTGCGCCTTCCGGTACCAATGACCATTCGGAACTCCTTTTTGTACAAAAGAAACAATGAAGTCAGCGAAAACATCCCGCACGATGCATGAAACTGCTGTTATTAATACATTTGAATTTATGTTAGCATCTATTAAAATAGTGATCAAACAATAAAATCTTAAAATACTTACTCATCGCTCCAAGCCCCTGTCCACTCCCTTGCCCCACCCCAAGGGTTTCGTACCCGGAACAAGTGGTTACCATTAGCCTGAAGCGAGTAAAACACTAAATCAAACGCTGTCTGAGGTTTTTCATTCCCTGAACATTTCATTTGATGAAACAGGAGTAAGACATTTTGATAAGGCGTTTCCATGTGGCAGACATACTGGGCCGGCATTTTCAACTTTTGAGGAAAATAATTTTATAAGTGTCACTGTACAAGTCATAGCCGTGAACAAATGAAAAAAATAATAATAACAATTCGGTAAAACAAAAACCGGAAGGAGAGTTCCTGACAAAAACGTACTTCGCATGGCAAGGTAATCATCTTTTTTTTTTGATGTTGTGCATTTACAAATATTGTTTAAGTGTACGATCAGATGTTAGCAGGTCCCTGGTTCGACCCCTCTCATTTCTGTAAATGTTTTAACTTGTTTTCAAGTACTCAAACAACTGGAATTCGGTAGAAAATGACGTAAAGAAATATTACATAACACTGCTGATGGCAATATTATATAAATATGACATTCATTAGCAGGTGACAGTGAACATTGTCAATCCGAGCAAACAATTGTCACCCGAGGCGAAGCCGAGGGTGACAATGGGTGTTTGAGGGTTGACAATATTCACTGTCCTCTGCTAATGAATGTCATATCTATTTTGTTACACCAAAAGTCTTTGTAGCTCAGAAACGGCAGCAAACCTCGATATTGACATCTTGTTTGTTGATAGTCTGCTGTTTACAATCGCTATCGCGACGGCGCTTGATAAAATTGGCTGTTGCCGTCAAACGTTCTTGTGACCATCACGGTTGGGAAACGAAGCGGTGAACGCATATTTTTCGCGCATGTGATATTTTTCACTGTCTCATGGCAATATCATCCGCGCCCCTTAAAACCAATGTATTGATGGAGGGTGACAGAGATTTTTGTTTAATTTTCTCCCAACCAATCAAATAGCTAGAAATTCACTTGAGGTGTAACATTATAAATTATAACACTGCTGATGGCAATATTATAATTTATAACACTGCTGATGGTAATATTATAATTCATAACACTGATGATAGCAATATTATAATTCAAAACACTGCTGATGGCAATATTATAATTAAAAACACTGCTGATGGTAATATTATAATGTATAACACTGCTGATGGTAATATTATAATTCATAACACTGATGATAGCAATATTATAATTCAAAACACTGCTGATTGTAATATTACAAATTATAACACTGCTGATGGCAATATTATAATTCATAAAACTGCTGCTAGCAATATTATAATTTATAACACTGCTGATAGCAATATTATGATTTATAAAACTGCTGATTGTAATATTATCATTTTTAACACTGCTGATGGTAATATTATAATTTATAAAACTGCTGATGGTAAAATTATAATTTATAACACTGCTGATGGCAATATTATAATTTATAACACTGCTGATAGCAATATTATAATTTATAACACTGCTGATGGTAATATTATAATTTATAACACTGCTGATGGCAATATTATAATTTATAACACTGCTGATAGCAATATTATAATTTATAACACTGCTGATGGTAATATTATAATTTATAACACTGCTGATGGCAATATTATAATTTATAACACTGCTGATAGCAATATTATAATTTATAACACTGCTGATAGCAATATTATAATTTATAACACTGCTGATAGCAATATTATAATTTATAACACTGCTGATAGCAATATTATAATTTATAACACTGCTGATAGCAATATTATAATTTATAACACTGCTGATAGCAATATTATAATTTATAACACTGCTGATAGCAATATTATAATTTATAACACTGCTGATAGCAATATTATAATTTATAACACTGCTGATAGCAATATTATAATTTATAACACTGCTGATAGCAATATTATAATTTATAACACTGCTGATAGCAATATTATAATTTATAACACTGCTGATAGCAATATTATAATTTATAACACTGCTGATAGCAATATTATAATTTATAACACTGCTGATAGCAATATTATAATTTATAACACTGCTGATAGCAATATTATAATTTATAACACTGCTGATAGCAATATTATAATTTATAACACTGCTGATAGCAATATTATAATTTATAACACTGCTGATAGCAATATTATAATTTATAACACTGCTGATGGTAATATTATATTTCATAAAACTGCTGATGGTAATATTATAATGGTAATATTATAATTTATAACACTGCTGATGGCAATATTATAATTTATAACACTGCTGATGGCAATATTATAATTTATAACACTGCTGATTGCAATATTATAATTTATAACACTGCTGATGGTAATATTATAATTTATAACACTGCTGATAGCAATATTATAATTTATAACACTGCTGATAGCAATATTACAATTTATAACACTGCTGGTGGTAATATTATATTTCATAACACTGCTGATAGCAATATTATAATTTATAACACTGCTGATGGTAATATTATATTTCAAAACACTGCTGATGGCAATATTATAATTTATAACACTGCTGATAGCAATATTATAATTCATAACACTGCTGATAGCAATATTATAATTTATAACACTGCTGATAGCAATATTATATTTCATAACACTGCTGATGGCAATATTATAATTTATAACACTGCTGATGGTAATATTATATTTCATAACACTGCTGATGGCAATATTATAATGTATAACACTGCTGATAGCAATATTATAATTCATAACACTGCTGATAGCAATATTATAGTTTATAACACTGCTGATAGCAATATTATAATTTATAACACTGCTGATGGTAATATTATAATTTATAACACTGCTGATGGCAATATCATAATCCATAACACTGCTGATGGCAATATTATTCAATTATAGCCTTTGGCTGAGGTCGATAAATCCAGGTATTGACCGAAGTTTAAGGCTTCAATTGTTTTATTATTTTACAAAACAGTAATGTAAGCAATCTGGAAAAAACACCACAACAAAGAAGCTTCGGAAATGGGACGGTGCATTGTTTGGAGACACGTCATAATTCTATTTTTAGAAACATTCAGTCCTTCAACAAAAATCACGCGCTCCAAGTCAATATTGGTTTTTATCAGTGGACACGTGATGCACTCCTGGCCAATCACTTGTTGGGAATAATATGAAAATATAATAATATAATTCATAACACTGATGATAGCAATATGATAATTTATAGGTAGTAGTGTACAGTAGAAATGGTCTGACTCTGAAAAACAAGGCACATGTCGTGGAAATGTAAACACAGCGGATTTACCCTACACAACACATATATACATGCATATATATTTGTAAACTGCAATATTTTTACAATACATATAAAGTACTGAGAAGTGTATAAACCTCTTTTTTCTGCATGTCACTTGTGTGAAAACCATAGTTACCACATCAAAAATTACCAAAAAATGCCAAATAATGCTATTTTTGACCCAAAATTTGACCCCCGCAACTAGTTTTTTTCCCCCTAAGTTCTGTCTGAAATTAAAGATTACCTACTTGGTTGCAGAATTATCTGGGTCCCAGTAAAGTTGTACAACTTGATTTTTTGATATTTTGCGTCGTGTGCTGTTGTCAAAATTTTACCTCCTGTAAAGCTAGCTTTTCATGTGTAGGCCCCTTTCGGATTATGGCCAAAATTTTATTCTCGAATCTTTTTATTTTTTTACAAATGTGAAGCTCACATAGCCCACTTCATCATGCTTATACCAATTTTAGTACAGTTTTATTTATATATTTTTTTTTACATATCATTATACAGGGGTTAGCCATTTAACAAAAATATCACCCATGGCCACAACCCTCTACTGTACACTGCTACCATAACACTGCTAATGGCAATATTATAATTTATAACACTACTGATGGCAATATTATAATTTAACTGATGGAAAACTTAACCTTTATAATAGAAATGATATATATGAGATCAATCAGAAATATTTCACTCTTTAACGATTACACTTTCATGCTGATATCCAGTGATGGAAAAGTTGGTCATTGCTTATTGAGTTACAAGGTCTGAAATCAATAGGACTCACCACAGCTGTTCCCGTCAGTGTGTACTCATGGTTCCCAATCAATCCCTGGTGACCGTTGTATTCGCCCTTTCATAGAAAAAATCAAACATCTGTAACAAGTATCTATTATATTGTTCGGTATTATTGAACGCATGGAAATAAGGCAAGTAAACCGTTACTTCAGAGGAGCCCAAACTGTAATTTAAATTCGATCAAGATACTCGGTGGGTATTCGATGATGCACAGTATGGACACAGCGTTGATTTTGTAGATATACGTTTTATAAACACCTTAGTCGCTTAAGGCATGGTATGCTTTACGAGTCAATAACACTATTTTTTTCAAAATGCTATTTGTTAGAACCATCTGAAAATTAACAAATTTTATTTTTTATTTTTTGTATACGAAGGGTGATTTCAATTGCTATACACGCAGGTTAAATTGTGAATTTAAATAGTTTTTTTTTTAAATCGATCATGTTAAAATAAATAACTGGTCCCTTAAAGCTTAATTGGAACTGGAAAACGACATGTGATTATTCAGAAAGCAAGAAATATATATCTATAGAAAAATATAAACGGCTGCGTTTCCACATATGTGATTTTAAGTTTGAAATAGCTGCCTACTTATGACATTGATTTAGTGCATTAACGGAATTAATAAATCATAACCCATTCAGCCGATGGAACTTGTCAGATTCAGTATCATTCGAGTGTATTCATAAGCATAGTGTTGTTGTTCTCTTGGCAGCTGGAGGTCAAATAATATAACGTTAGGTATGCTGCTTTGGTGCAGATATAAATAAATGATACGGGAAGGCCTTCACCAGTTAGTACACTTAGTTACTTAGTGTCCAAAACCAAAAGTCGTATTTTGTATAGAAACTTCACAGTTAACTAATCGAAAAACCAAGCATTCATTACGCAGTCGTTTGTTTAGGAGATTCTTGGAATCGTTTGGTTTTGTTTTTTACATTTTTGACTAGTTTTCATACAATGATTTACTAAATTTAAGTGTCTCTTTTATAACATATAGGGTGAATAAGGTTTAAGCAGCGTCATACAACTTACTGGAACTGCGCATGCCACCATAGCCCCAGACCGGTGAGCGTTCGTCATTCGAACAAATAATTCATCTGCAGTTACTTCCCCTGATTTTAGATCAACTTCTTCCGGAACACCCGACGTTAGTGCCACGAACGAGGCTGCACTTTGACCGCCGGTAACAGCTTCGTAGCTTCCATACGACCTAACGTGAAGGAAAACACAAGAATCAGTTTTTTGAGGAAACACAACGCATTTTCCATTACAAATACTCGTCTGGCTTCTCCGATAAAACAACACAATGTATACCACTTTGCAACAACTAAAAGCAGCACAATGTTGCTTCTAGAACATTTTAATACTTGGACGTAATATACACCACACTCATCCCCATACATTGTATGACAAACAAACAATCTGTTGCATTCGGGTGTATGTGTGACCATGAACGGATTATTTGCTTGAATTCTGTTAGTGTCATACTCTGTACCCATCCTAGGAGGAGTGGTTCTCGGTCTGTTACTGTACCGGTTGTTAACTTGAACAATGCGAATTTGTTTATGCTCTCAATGAAAGGAAAAAAAATCTAGAATTGTCATGCAGAAAGTAGGCAATGCAGTTTGTTACAGTTGTTAGTCAGGTGCTTGTAATGAGGTCAAATGTAAATTATGTATCTTGTCATTCACTTAGCTGGTAGTATGATGTATGTGTCCTGATATTTCGTGCAGTTTTGCGCTGCGCTCTTTCTAACCTGCTGATTTGGTTTTCTGTCGTGTTGGTTCGTGTTGAAGGACCGTATTCCAGCTATGATCTGGCTGTGGCCGGACACGCCTGTTATTTTGTGTGTTATCTATTTAGTTTGATTTGGGGTTAGATGATGCCTATAATGATGACAGTGATGCTTTAAAGTATGATTGTGGTAATTATTGTTGTGCTTTATATTTACATTAAAAATATATTGTGATGATGGTCAGATCAACACTCGTCTGGTGAAAGCATTTTACAGCACGACCTATTCCTTCTACGGCACAAGCCTTTGCCGGAAGTACAACAAATACCTACCTAGAAAATGCAATCGCTAGAAGGGTCATTATTACAATAAACCACTTGTGATTGCTATCCAGTGGTAAGACAAATACGTATCTGGTGAATGTCTTCTCAGTCAGAATTACGTGTGGATGTCTTCTTCAGCAGAATTACTTCGTATCTTACAAATGCCTTCACCAATACCAAGATCTGTTTAGTGTGACCAAGATTTACCTTGCAGAAGCCTTCACCAGCAATATGACCAAGATTTACCTGGCAGAAGCCTTCACCAGCAGTGTGACCATGATTTACCTGGCAAAAGCCTTCTCCAGCAGTGTGGTCAACACTTACCTGGCAAAAGCCTTCTCCAGCAGTGTGACCAAGATTTACCTGGCAAAACCCTTCTCCAGCAGTGTGGTCAACACTTACCTGGCAAATGCCGTCTGTAACAGTGTCGCCAACACTTACCTTGCAAAAGCCGTCTGCAACAGTGTCGCCAACACTTACTGGCAAAACCCGTCTGCAACAGTGGCGCCAACGCTTACCTGGCAAAAGCCGTCTGCAACAGTGGCGCCAACACTTACCTTGCAAAAGTCTTCTCCAACAGTGTCGCCAACACTTACCTGGCAAAAGCCTTCTGCAACAGTGTCGCCAACACTTACCTGGCAAAAGCCGTCTGCAACATTGTCGCCAACACTTACCTGGCAAAAGCCTCTGCAACAGTGGCGCCAACGCTTACCTTGCGAAAGCCGTCTGCAACAGTGTCGCCAACACATACCTGGCAAAAGCCGATTGCAACAGTGGCGCCAACGCTTACCTTGCAAAAGTCTTCTCCAAAAGTGTCGCCAACGCTTACCTGGCAAAAGCCGTCTGCAACAGTGGCTCCAACACTTACCTTGCAAAAGTCTTTTCCATCAGTGTCGCCAACACTTACCTGGCAAAAGCCGTCTGCAACAGTGGCGCCAACGCTTACCTTTCAAAAGTCTTCTCCAGTAGTGTGACCAACACTTACCTTGCAAAAGCCTTCTCTAACAGCAGTGTGACCAACACAGTGTGATCAACCCTTACATGTACCTTGAGAACGCCTTCTCAAGCTGAGCTATTAACACTAACCTGGTAAATCAGACTTAGTGAAAGTCTCCTCCAGCAGAGCGACTATATACCACTTACCTGGCGAATGCTTTCTCCAGCAGGGCTACCCACATCTCGTTTTCGTCTGTGTCGGAGTGTGCCCCGTACACAGTGGTTCCGTACACGATCGGTAGATAGTCATCAATGTAGACGTCCTCCCAAACACCATAGCGCCAGAACCGGCAGTGAAAGACGCCGTCATAGGTAGACCTCCCTACAGGGTAGGCGTCTGATGGAATTACCTGGCCAGGTAAACACAGCAATGTCATTTGGGGAGAATTTACAGTTCATGACAAATGTGATTCTTCATGTATGATATATTGAAATGATAACAAAACGCGTTTAGCCTCGACAAGGAGTGCGCTTAGTTTACAATAAATTAATACTTCAATTAAAAACAAAGAAAATTTGTTGTTGAATCAGAAGTTGTTTATCATTCCGAAGATGAACTTAAAATGTCGAAACACCTCAACGTACTGTAGCATACTTTGTAAATGTGGATTATGATGATTCCAAAATACTGTTCTTCATGCGAAAAAAATAAAATAAAATGTATAGTGGTTAAATCGTTTCAATCCAGAAAAAGTTGTATTAATCCAACCCCCAAACACCAACCCCCGAAAAATGCTCAAATTAATCCAGAAAGACTATTGATGTCAGAGGACATGTTACATGTAAAATAAATGTTTAATTCCGAAAATATACTTGCTTTGACCAAGAATTCAGTCGTTGATATGAAATGTCGCTTTAACAGGGAACATTATTTTCAATTCAGAAAACCCGTCTCAAATGTCGTCAAACTGATTTTTATACGAAAACTATTCAATCGAGTTAAAAAAAAACCGCCCAGTGAGCTTTTATTAAGACAATTAACACGTTTTTCATGACATTAACCGAAAATTTGACTCAGTTAGACCTGTAAGAGTGAAAGAGGCATGTACCTGTCTCAGGAGTGTGGGCTTGTCCGCTATGTTGGTTACCATAGCTAGGAACCAGCAGGTACCTATTGACCTTTGACCTATGTCGTACTTTGAAGTACCATCTGAGAACAGCACTGGGTTGTCGCGGATCTCCTATTGTAAAAACAAAAGAGGAAAGCAGCATGTATCAGTATCATGTATCAATCTCTGTGAAACACGTTACATCCGATAAGGCTGGGAATATCGAGATTTTGTTTGGTCTTTTGTAAAAGACGACCTTCACGTTTACGTCCATAATGTATATGCCATTTCTTCCCATATTTCTTGCCAATTAGACTTCCGTTGTCCCTTTGTATACATCAAATGTACACTAATAATTAATACTGTAAATCCTCTTAATATCACTTGAACGAAACAGTCTCGTTTTTATAACTTAAACACGTAAACGTTTATACAGAAATACAGAAAAATGTGGTTAATATCATATTAAAGTCACAAATATAACTTAGAAAGACACAAATACAGTAGAATCCTGATAATATCACATAAACAGACACAAATACAGTAAACACAGATAATATCACATAAACAGACACAAATACAGTAGATTCCTGATAATATCACATAAACAGACACAAATACAGTAGAATCCTGATAATATCACATAAACAGACACAAATACAGTTGAATCCCGATAATATCACATAAACAGACACAAATACAGTAGAATCCTGATAATATCACATAAACAGACACAAACACAGTAGAACACAGATAATATCACATAAACAGACACAAA